TCAGCTTTAAAACAAAGAGTATTGGGCTTTGAAGTCATAAATACATATCCTAAAACAGTTTTACTCAAAGATAAAAGAAAGTTGCAAATGTATCTTTTTTTGATAATTATTTATAATAGAATAACAAATAATAGAATTCAATAATATTCTTAATACATTAAAAAAGATGTTAACCGACTAAATTAGAGTGGAAGAATAAATAGATTCCTCTTATCAAAATGATATTAAAGTGGAACAAATTAATTAATTGACATAAGAAGATAAAAACTAGTTGAATTTTGAAGAGGCTGAAAGATTATTCAACAAAGGTATAATTAATTTCATTTTATAATAGGAGTGGCTTTAAGAAAATTAAATAAGTATTAGGAAGCAATTGAGTGTTACGACAAAGCTATTTCCATTAATCCTAATTATAATTTGGCATGGAATAATAAGGGTAACTGATGTGACACATTATTATTGTTTAGGCTTTACATTAAATAATCTAAAGAAGTATTAGGAAGCAATTGAGTGTTACGACAAAGCTATTTCCATTAATCCTAATTATGATTTGGCATGGAATAATAAGGGTAACTGATGTGACACATTATTGTTGTTTAGGCTTAGCATTAAATAACCTAAAGAAGTATCAGGAAGCAATTGAGTGTTACGACAAAGCTATTTCCATTAATCCTAATAATGATAATGCATGGAATAATAAGGGTAACTAATGTGACAAATTCTTATTGTTTAGGCTTTACATTAAATAACCTAAAGAAGTATTAGGAAGCAATAGAGTGTTACGACAAAGCTATTTCCATTAATCCTAAATATGATGCTGCATGGAATAATAAGGGTAAATCATCATGTAATTTAGGCTTTTCATTACATAGTTTAAAGAAATATCTGGATGCTATTACATGCTATGATTAAGCTCTGTCTATTTGCATTAATCCTGTTCGACTAAAAAATAAAGGTATATCTTTTAAATTTAATTTCTATTTAGCTGATTCATTATTTGAGTTGCAATTGAAATAAGAAGCTAAGAAATTTTATTTGGATGCATTACGCCAAGGATCAAATGACAAGGAATACATAAACAGATAACTTGCCAAATTATGAAACACCATTATTATTATTATTAAATTATCAGATCTTTTTTATTTTTCTGTTTATCCATTCTAGTAAAACTTACTTTTGTTCATTTTCCCTTCATTTTAAAACTTGGGTTTTACAAAAATGTTATTCTTCTAATAACTGGTTACAATAATTATCATAGATAAAAGCACTAAAACAAAACTAATGATTAACATTTTCTCCAAAAGTCTAACTATTTAGGTAGAGTTCATGCTTCAAATTATCTATTAATAATCTCTTTTCTAATATTTCTCTTCATATATAACTGGCTTCTCAACGATTATAAGCAAATTTAGAGAGTTTAACTATGGTTCAACACCTAAGTTGCCCATCTTATTGGAAATATATATGAAAAAAATGGTATATATATACCCAAAAGTAAATTATAAAGGATAAGTGATTTCACCTAAATCTGCTTTAGATATCTGAGATTTTTGTTCTAGGTTTATTCCTAGATTGTTAACATTTAATAAAATTTAAATAAATATAAAAAATAAACAAGAATCAAAAATATTAAGGTATTCGAAAAATAAAATTTAATTATTTCAACTTAAAACCTAAACTTTCGAGCTATAGCCAATAAATTCAGAATTGACTTTTTGTTTTTCACATAAATGGTATCAAAAAGTTAATTTAAATTAATGTCTACTCTAGCAAATTTAAACCTTAAATCAAATTTCACCAATCTGAACCCTTTTAGTGTCCAATCTGTTTAGATTGATGAAAATTTAGAGGACTTAAAAAAATTATGGTTTGAAGAAATAGGCATAGGGAAAATTAAGAAAGGCTGGGATATAAAGATTAAAAATGGAAAATCTTGAAATGCTGCTGAGCCTAGATTACTGGATAGGATATCGAATTTGGAAAATAAAAACTATTAAAGTAAAAGATACAAGGTCAACAAACTCAAATCTGTGGCTTTGTAATTAATATCTTCTTCCTGAAAAACTTCATTTGAACAAATTTTGCCCTATAAGAAAAATAAATGAAAGTTAAGTAAACAATTTGCCTTCTTTAGGAACAACCAATTTGATAAGAACAAATGGGGCATAAGAATTTTAGGCAATTTTTCATTTGTTTCATTTGTACTATTTCAGAATTGTCAATCATTTTGGCAGAAATCAAGTCAATTTTATAATGTGGTGAACAATAAAAAAAAAGGAAAAAAAATATTGTTATGTATAATTTATATTCATATAGATGATTATCTAGAATTAATTGAGATTTGAATCAAGATTTATATTTCATTCGGCATTATTGATTTTATAGAGTGAATCTCAACTGAAGGGAACTCATTCCTTTTCAAAATTCTTTTAAAATTAGATTAAAAACATTGATTGAATCTCTCCAACCTGAATCTGCAATTAGGATGAGCTGTCTTTACAGATATCAATAAAATGAAGGATAAACGAAAAACATTCATGAAAGATGAAAAAGAAGAAGTAAAAGTATAAAGACTAAAAAAGAAGATAGCAATCTTAAAGTAAACTAAAAGATAACATGAAGAGTAGAAAGTAAAATGTTACGGCTAAGCTTTAATTAGATAGAAATAAATATCAAAAGTATTATTATTGTTCAAAGTAAATAATTCTTATTATATAATCTCAAATACTTGA